ATTATTGCATTATTTCCTAAAAGACCTCAGCTTTCTCTTCCAACCCTTCTAATGTGTACCGTTTTCTTTACACACTGTCAATTCCCTACATGGACTTCATCTCCCCGGGTCTCCTTTCTCCATTTTGGTCTCCATCTTCCATGCTAATGGTTTTCCTAAATGTCTGCCAGTGTTTAAGGCTGGAGATGAAGAGTTACTTGAGCACAGGGGTGGGGTTTGTCTATGTAAGTGTTGCCATAGGAGAGCTGGCATAGTCAAGTGCTGGGAAACCCTATCATCAGTCTCTTTAGTCCCTTCTTCTTGGATCAGATTAACTAGACTCCCAGAGTAGATCTTTTGATGCCCTATGTGGTCAACAAAATAAAAAGGTCCATGCACTGATCCTTAAAACCTATGAATATGTTACTTAGATGTCAAAGGGCACTTTGAAGATGTCTTCAAATTAAGATTCTTGAGAGTTCTTGAGAGTATCTTGGATCCTCCAGTGGGTCCACCGTAATTAGAAATTGTGATAAGAAAGAGGCAAGAGGCTCAGACTCCAAGAAGGAGACGCAATCACAAAGCAGAGGTTGGAGTGAGGAGGGCTTGAGCCAAGGAATGTGGGCAGCTTGACAAGTTGAGAAAAGCAAGGCACAAGATTCGCCTTAGGCCTCCAGAAGGGACACAGCCCTGCCAACACCTTGATTTTAGTCCTTGAAACTGATATTGGATTTCTCACTTCTGGAACTATAAGATAATAAAGTTGTGTTGTTTTATTCACTAATTGGTGGCAATTATGGCAGCAGTAGTAACCTGGTCTGTCCTGTGGCCGGGCACTGGCAGTGGGGCAGGTCTTGCTTTCTGTGAGCAGATATGCACATCACCTTCTGCTGTTCACTGTGGTGTTCTGCCTCAGCTCTACCTGGTGCCCTGCAGGGCTGAGCCGCTATTGCATGCTCCCCCTTGGGTGGGCAATGAAATCTCCCAGAAAGGTAAAGTGAGGCAGAGGTTCTAGGGATCAAACTTCTTCCCACTCTGAAGTTCCAAAAGTACCTGGAGCTGCCAATTCCTGAGCTATTTGCAGGTTTGACAGTGGAAATTGGGACAACTGTCAGCTTCCCCCTCCACTGACTCAGAATGGGCTTTCTCGTCCCTTGTCACCTGCTGTTAGCTACTCTGTGGATCTCTTCACTCCCAGTCTCCCTGTCTTCATCAGATTATGCCTTAGAAACAAACAAAACTCCTGTAGTTTTAGTGGAGGGTTCAGGAAATAAAACCAGCCAGTGTGCTCAGCCTGCCTGAGGTCTTCATGCTTTCCCCACCTGAGATCTCCCTGGGTCCAGGAGGGTGTTGGTGTTTACCCCTCCTGCCCCTGTGGCATACTCAGTCTCTGGTTACTTAAGAAAGTCTCTCTGGGAAGATTCTCCCCTTTCCTTCCCCTTTGTTTATGTCACATGTGCTCAGGGCTGATTCAGCAGTGTGCCCCAGGTGGGTTTTGGTAGTTGTTAAAATGCTGAAGTTCCTCCCTACTGATTATGCATGGCCACTGTTCCCCATGTCCCCAAGTCACCCTCCCTGTCCTGGACCCCCACATATTCTTCCCTGACTGAACCAGGGGAGAATCTGCTGACTAGGGTTGACAAAACAAACGCCACAGGCTGGGTGGTAGCAACAGCAGACATTTCCTTCTCTGTTCTAGAGGCTGGAGTCCAAGGTCAAGGTGCCAGCAGGGAGGTTTCCTCTGAAATCTCTCTCTGGTTGTCTTGCCGATGGCTGCCCTGTTGTTGCCTCTTCACAGGTCACCCACTGCAAAGGAGCCCCTGGTGTCACTTTTATGTCCTAGTCTTCTGTTCTTAGAAGGGCCCAAGTCAGATTAGACTAGGACCCATCTGAAGGCCTTCATTTTTATTTTATTTTATTTTATTTTTTGGTCCCAGGGATTGAACCCAGGGGCACTTAACCACTGAGCCACATCCCCAGCCCTTTTTTGTGTTTTATTTAGAGACAGGGTCTCACTGAGTTGCTTAAGGCCTCACTAAGTAGCTGAGGCTAGCTTTGAACTTGAGATCCTCCTGCCTCAGCCTCCCACCCCTGAGGAGGCATGCACCACCACGTCCAGATTCGAAGGCCCACATTTTAATGTAACTTATTTTTTTTTTGTACCGGGGATATTGAACTCAGGGGTGCTTAGCTACTGAGCCACATCCCCAGCCCTTTTTTAAAATTTTGAGACAGGGTCTCTGTTTCTACCTACTTAAAGGCCCTGTCTCTAAATACAGTCACATCCTAAGGTATAGGAGCTGCTGGGCACAATTTATTCATAACACAGACCCTCCTGCCAAGCAATAGCCCTCTGATTACTCCTGTTCTTGCCATATCTGTGGCTGCATATCTGGAACACCAGCACCAAACCTGGTACATTCTTAATTTTTTACTGAAAGCCTAGGCTACAAAACCAGTCCTTCCAAGACAGCCACAGCCCCAGAGCCCTAGCCTTGGAGCAAGATGGTAAACCATGGAGCCATTTGTATTTGATATCATGTTTATGTTTCCCACTACTCAGAGTATTTCACAATAAAAATGAAAATGATATACACCATACACATGTATTGTACATGACTCTGATATTAAAATCCCTGTGTATTCCCTTGCAGACTTTGGCCTACTGCCATTCACACTTCAAGTTTCACTTATAAAAAATAGTAAGAAATCTTTAGACAATGACCCTTCATATTCTAATTAAATGAACCTTTAAAAAATCACCCACAGAGGGTAGAAACCCTTCACGAGAACATGTGATAGTGGATGAAAGCAGAGGCTTTGGAGTCCATCAGACCTGCATCTCTATTCTGCTTCTACCACTTATTAGTTGTGTGACCTTGAACAAATTGCTGAGTCTCTTAGTTTCCTCATTCGTAATAATTTCTGGCTCATGAGGCTGCTGGGAGAAACAAGTGAGAGGATGTATCGGTAGTGTCCACACCTGGTGTGGACAGAGGGCAAATTTCTCTGCTTCCCCTCCCCCTCAGATCTGCAGAAGAAGAACCCCCACCCCCACCCCCTGAGCCAGCCAGACCCCTCCCCTCCCTTTCCCCGTCATCCCCCCTAAAGTGGCTCCCAGACTGTGATCTCACTGGTGCTTAGTAAAACCCTTCATCCCCTTTCACCAGGTGAAGAGGGTTTGTACAGATCCTGTGCTAACAGATTCCTTTGGCCAATTCACTTGGCAGGTTTTACATCTGAAAGACTGTTTGACAGTTTCCCTGGGCCCTTCTCCAGGGTCCTCTAAGATCTAAAACCCTCTGGGAGATTAACTTCTGGCTCTCCCAGCCTGACCAGCAGCCTGGGTGCAGGGCTGCTCTCCAGTACTTTCCCCAGAGAAGGTAAAGGTGAACTTGCTGATAGAGATTTGGAAAGGGAATTTAGAGGGGAAGCAGACAGAAAATAAACATTTACAGAGCACCTTTTTAATCTGTGAGGCTCTCGACATATGTCACCTCCAGCTATTCCTCCCAACCACCCAGAGCCATCCGCAGTATTCCTCACCATTTTACAGATGAGGAGACTGAGCTTCAGAGAGGATAATTAAGCAACTTCAAAGCTATCATGAATGGAGAGTGAAGTTCAAGGCCTCTGGTCTGGTTCACTAACCTCATTAATTAATTAATTAATTAATCTGAATCTAAGTCAGATGCTCCCACCCCCCACTGGGTCCCTCAGCCCTCCTTACAACCAACCTCTTCTGGCCACTCTCTGCCCACTTCTATGTTATACACCTATTGCCTTCCTCTTCATGTTAGTCTGGCCAAGTCTTTTGTCCCTCAATTCCATCAGGAAGAATGCCTCATTCTTCTTTTCACCAAACACACAGTAGAACCTAGAATGTGTCTTAAACAGATGAGAGGTTAAGTGAATGAGTGCATACAGAAGTACACATAAAGATGATTGAAAAAATTTAACTGTTAGTAAATGAATGATTGAATGAATGAATGGAACAGATATAGGAACTAGCACTTGCAAGCAAAGCAAATGTTGCACATACGCAAAAATGAATGCATACAGGCTAGGGCATGGATTGCATGAATGGATTAATAAGAGAATGCATGAACATGTGGACGAGTGATAATGTAAATTAATATTTGTTAATGAGTATATATACAAATGAGTGAATATTGAATAGGCAAATGAGTATGAGAATGGATGAAAGAATTAATACATGAACAAATGAACACAAGGACGAATGAATGAGTACCGGAATGGACTGCAAGTGCATGCATGCAGGAGCAAATGCATAAGTGAGCGAATGAGCCAAAAGTGGGTGAGTGAGTGCCTTTGCTGTTTCTGCTGGATTGTGCTACCTTCTGAGTAAGATGCCAGGAGTCATCATTTATGTTGGAGGCAAAGTTCTGGGGGTAGGATTAAGGGCTAGGGATATTAGAGCCCAACTATACATAGAGAATGCCTTGGCTTGTCCTCCCCTCTGACATGTGCCAGACCCCAGGTGGTCCTCAGGCCCACGCTTCCCAGCACATGGGAACTCTGGGGAGCATCAAGTCACTGTCAGTCCCTTTCTGCCCAGTGTCCCCTTTTTCCTACAGTCCGTATCCCACCCAGCACCCCACCCCACCCCCAGCCAAGAGCACAAGCAGGCAGCCACAGACAAGGAAATTAATTCTGAGCATCCAAGAACAGCCTCCTGTAATGAAGAGGCTGCTGCAATATCTTTGCAACAAGCAGCAACCCACATGTTCGATTACAACAGGTTGAGCCATTCCACACTCCCCAGTGCCAGGGCTCAGGGAAAAGGGGAGAAAAAAAAACAACACCACCTAAACACCAAGCAAGAATGCACACTTCCTGACACGACCCACACGCAAGGTTCTGGCTCAGTCTGGACTGATGGGGCTGCAGCATTTCTTGATGGGGAGCGCATGGCCATAACTACTATGCTTCTCTGCTTACCCGTTCCTGAGGAATGCTTTTTTTTTTTTTTTTTTTTGCTTCTTCTTTTTCCACTTCAGGCTGAGCCACATCAGGTTTTGAATGACTGACATCTTCCCTCTCTGCATTGGGAGCCAATTCCTTCAGGATTGTGACAAACCGGTATTTCGGGTCCCCCTGGCAACCACAGTATCCTATCTCCTGAGGATTGTGCGTCTCCAGGACGGAGGAGAACTGGCTTCTGAGTGAGAATCTACACCTTTCTCTTTCTTTCTGTGCTGCCACCTGGGTCATGTTTCAGACAGTTTGGTTGGGAGGAAAGGCTGTCCTGGATGTGAGGAGGAGATTCGAGAAATGTCCCTAGTGCTGGAAGGAGAGGGCACAACAGAAAGAGTCTTAGGAAGGAGGACCTCCCACTTTCAGTTTCCACTCTTGCCTTTGCTTGTCTTATGATGCAACTGTCCGTAACACCTGCCACGGAGGACCCGGTGCCCATTTGGATTCAGACACTTGTCAGTCATTGAATTAATCATCTTAGCTTTGCACGAAAGCATGGGGCGGAGTTGTGGTTGCTCAGGGCTGGCATGAGCGTGAGGGGAGGCAGAGGGATGGCAGCGGGTGCAGGCTGTGCACCTCAGAGTTGGAGGCAGTGCCGAGGCTGGTGTAGCAGTTTTCTTCTTTGCCCCTAGCTTCCTTTTTCTGTGCTTGAGAAATTATGTATTGCTTGAAAATTATCTTTTTCCAAAAAGGACGTTGAACACAGTGTCAGGAAGGCCTATGTAGCCACCACCCCAATAACTTCCCATTCCACTTTCTGGTTTGTTTGGGGGTAGGGAAAGAGAGGTAGAGGCAGCAGGAGAAAGACCTTGGCCTTGGTGACTAACCTCAAACAATAGCCACTGGAGAAGACAGTGATGTGCAAATTACTGATTTTTATTGGACACTTTGGGGAATATAGTTGTTTGTCAGGAAATGAAAGAGAATGTTTGTGCTTATAAAATTATATGGAAAATCAATGCAGTGTTAAGTATATTTTTCAGTTGTTTTAGTCAAGGACTGTTCTCCAGCCAATTCTAGCAAACTCTAAGGGAGACGAGACATCCCAAAACACAGCCAAGGGACTGAGCAGAAAGGTCAAGCCGCGGTTTATTGCTGCACTCCAGCACTTGGGGAAAGGCCCAAGTGGCTGTAGAAAGTTGAACATGTGGCTGTCAGCAGTGACACTCAGAACCACGCTACAAAGAGGGTTTCTGAAGTTTAGACTAATTCCTGGTTTTTCTTTTCTTGTGTTCCAACTTAAGGACTGAGCACAGAGGCCCTGTCCAGATGGGGAGACTGTGGGGAAATTGGGAGTTCATAAAAGCATTTTTCAGGCGAGAAGATAAGAGTTGTCTAGAAAGTGAGCAAGAATGGGAGGCTCAGGGGTTCATGAGCCATTTACTGTCAGTAGAAGTGGGGTGCTCTGTGTTCCTAAATGTTATCTGTGGGTTTGTCTAGCTCTGAGCCTGGGACAAGGATATGAAAGGAGGCATGGAAACAGCTGGGCTCCTGCCTCTTCCAGAGGACTGACATTGCACTGTGGCTGAGGGCCTTTGATGTGAAGGAATGAGAGAAGAGGAAGATAACATGCAAACTAGACTGATCCTAGGAGGTCAAAGACTGATAGCTGAGAAGCTACCAGTAAAACTCCCACCTGTGACCATCAGTTCTTTACCAGATAATATTTTTAAGATGCCAGATTGGGAGCAGACATTCTACTCTGCTATTCCTTCCCTGTGTGACCGATACAAAATCACTGTCCTCTCTGGGCTCATTGTTCTTTGCCCCAGATAGTTGTTATAAGGAGCTTCTTAAGATGCCCTCCTCCTCTAAATTCTGTGGTTGTGTGAGAAGAGATCCCTCTGATTCATGGAGACAATAGTTCAGTGGAAGAGGATGGCTCTTGACTGAAGGGGATACCAGTTTTTTCCCTTGCTGGCTGCAGGGCTTAGGCTGGCCACATAACTTTGTTGTGCTTCCGTTTGAAAGCGGAAAAGTGGGTTCTGTTTGTTTGTTTGATTGGTAGGTTCTTTTCCCCCTCGACAGAATTGTGGTGAGGGTTAAATGCAATCATGCATGCCAAACTGGAACCCAGAGCCCTCCCTCACTGCAGGGGCTGTGGATCCATGCTAGCTATTGACCATACAAAAGGGGGTGAAGAAAAAAAACACCTTTTAACAAAGTGTCCTACTGCTGATACTTATGGGAACAGTTCATAATAATAAATTCCAACTTCTTCTTCTTATAAACCAAAATGATCCTTTTGTAATGGCATGATAGATATAAGTCAGGCTCTGCTTTAAATAGATATCCATGGCAAAGCAAAATAAAGCACTGAATTCGAATTCTGTCTTTCCCATTGTGAGTCAGTTTCATCAGCTTGTGAAGCTGAATAAAGAACAAGGACTGTGGAAGAATTTGATGTTTGTAATATGTACAAGGGACACAGTACTTGACGCACTGGGTAAACAGTATCCGTTATGATGTTAACATTTATTATTTGAAATTCATAATTTTAAAAATAAAGATCAAAGAAACAGCAAAACCTCAATTTGATTTTCACATTGCTCCATACTCGGGTACCACTTTTTCCACAAGAAAGATTTTCTCTGCCTGTCTTCTTTCATTTACTCATTGTTTTCTCAAGTGATGGGTGGAGATAATTAAAAATATCATCTAGATTTTCCTCAAGTATTAGAAGTTTCTAGAGGCTTTCAACTGTGTTGCAAACACACCCTGGCTCTTACTGCTTGCTCTAGTAACAATCTTTTTCAGAGAGCTCTGACATTTGGGGGTGAGCCCTCTTTGGCTGATGTGACTCAGCTGGCTGTGATTGTGATGAATGGTAATTACAGACCCAAAGTCATCTGGCCAAATATTTGATACTTTGAACAGAGAACCACAAATCCTTTAAAAATACAAAACATGATTGGTCTCATTTTCATTTCTATTGGTGTAGACATTAATACAATAAAATGCCTTCAGAGCCTCCAACTCCTGGATCCCCAGCCTTACATTAGAACCTTAGCAATAGAATTTGCTTGTTAGTTTGGTCCTTTGAATTGCAATTCCTTTAAATGATGATGATTTTTCCTCCAATGCCAAAAAAAAAAAAAAAGGAAGAAGCGACACGTCAATTTAAATATTATCTAATTAGAGAACAAAGTATACTGTGATCTTAATAATCTTAGTTATGAGCAGACAAAAAAAGAGCAAATATAAACCAATAAAAATAAAATACCAATATTAAGGGTAGACAGCAATGAAATTTGAATTATAGTTGTCTTTGCATAGTGGAAATATAATTCTCTTTTTTCTATCAATTTCCCCTACTTTTTCAATATTTACTGATGTACATATATTACTTTTAAGTAAAAAAATAGTTTTCATATTTTAGAAGAATTGTTATATTAAGTAATGGTGCTTTTTTAGAACAGCCAGTTCTTTTGTATCAAGTCAAATAGTAACTGACTGCACTTTACCTTTGTAGTAGCAAATATCTCCCATTCATTGTACCTGATTTTTAAGCAGGTATTAATGCACATTTAATAAGGTCTTGGGGTATGCCCACCTTAGTGGTAGAGCACTTGCCTAGCATGTACAAGGCCCTGGGATCAATTCACAGCACTGCCAAAAAGAAAAAAGCAATACAAAACAAAAAAAAAAGCTTTATTTTAAGTTTTCTGCCTCAATGGTGTATTGACAGTAATCAGGCAGGCTCCCGTTGGATTGTCTAACGTTACGACTGCAGTGTGTTAGACTTTGTTGGTGGTGTTTCCAACACAGGCCACCTACATGTTTTCTTTTCTGATTTTTTAATAACACCATTGGAATTTTTATTATAAAGGCAATGCATGTTCATTATAGAAAATGTTGCAGAGAAGAAAATTGATACACATAATACTATATTTCCTCCACCTAGAAGTAATCCCTGTTGAGCACTTGTGAATTTCCTTGTTTTTGTGTATATATGTGTACTGGATACATTTTAAGCAACTGAGATTATATTGTATATGTGTGTATGCATGCACATGTATGTCTGTATGTCATGAGCATTTTTAATGACATTACAACTGTTTATAATTTTTTGTGCTTGTATAGTAATGCACAAACCGTAACTTATTCAACTACTTCTTTTTTCTGAGTATTTAGGTTCTTCTCAACCCAATTTTTAAAATGCAAGCAATGCTATAATAATCATATTCATGTTCCCATCTTTGATTATTTTCTTAACACAGAGTGCTAGAATTGGAATTAATGGGTCACAGAATATCAACATTTTAAAAATCTTTTTATAGTCAAAGAAATGCAAAGTTGGACAATAATGAGAAGCAAACTTCTCATTCAATGTGCATCAAACCGCAAAAAGGAAAACCACTTCCCACATGCTTATAAACACTGGAAATTATCTTTCTTTTTCACCTTTGACATATTGATATACAAAAACTAGTCCTTTAATATTGTTTTAATTTATATTCCTTTGATTACTAGAGAGACAAAATTCTTTTTCATGTTTATTAGCTGTTTGTGTGAATTTTCTATTCATGACCTTTATCTATTTTTTCTAAGTTTTGTTTTCAGTTCATGAAAGATCCATCTCTAGTAAAGATAGCAGACCTTTGTCACTTCTATTTGCCTTTTATTTTTTAATGAATTTTTGGTATGCAGAAATTTGTTTTATGTAGTTGATTGCTGATATCTCTCATCACCATGTCTTCCCATTGTGATCCTTAGAAGTACTTCCTCATTCAGACATCAGATACTCTTAGCTAGCATTTTTGAGGTTGTTTTTTTTATTATTATTAACATAAAAATACAGGGTGAGCTGCAGCAAGGGATGAGGCCTGTGAATTTTATCAGGAGGCGCTTTCCACCTCTTGCATCATTAGGACACATGGAGCATTGCCTTTCCAGAGTGCCCTAAGATCCCAGAGATGCGAGCACAGGAGGAAAGAGCAAGCCAAGATCTGCTAAAAAGCCAGCAAGAGATTTTGAGTATAGGCATGGGTGTTTCGACTGTCATGTAGCAAGTGTGATTTTAAATGTTAGTAACTGGGAAGTCGTTTGGCAGCAGGGCTGCCATAAAAAGGCAGTCTGAGAGAGTAGGTCTGTGGGTCTTCCTCCAACAAGGCCCCTGAGCTGGAGAAATATGAGTGTGGTCTCAGGTGGCAGACAGGAAACTAAATGATTCTGAATTAGATCTTTG